CACATTAATACTAATCATTCCTAAAACAAAGATCTCAAATTATTACAAAGTGTCCTATACCTGGAAAAAATCTGAACCTTCACTTGTTCTTTCACAGAAATCTCTATAAATATATAAGCATTTATAACAACTAGAGTGGCATATCCATCATATTCTACATGCGTATTAATTAACAAGTTAAGGTCACAGAAAGAAGCACTGGTGACACAATGGTTAAATGCTTGTAACCTAACCAAAGTGCTGATAACCGAGAGGTTGGCAGTGTGAACCCATGCCACAGATCTGCAGAAGACTGGAAATCTGCTTCCATAAATATTACACCTGAGAAAATCCTATGGGACAGTTCTACTCTGTAGCATGGGGTCAATAAGAGTCAGAATAGACAACGGCACCCAACAAGCATGAAGGACAGGTGGAAAAGGCATACCTATAAAAACTTACCAATTACTTACATGAGAAAAATCTGGAGTTCTACTATATTCTTAAGCACACTTCATGATAAAAAGCAATTTACGTAGATTCTATGATAAACTCACCAGCTGCTCCTTGGAAACCCTAGGGTCACTATGAAACGACTCAAGGGCACTTAACAACAACACACTAAATGAACTTAATGCTTATTCTGTGAAATATAGTTGCATAACAATCACTGACACGTTCTGTATAGTCCCACAAAAACATAAAATTACTGTCGATCATAAGCATATGAATAATGCATATCACCTGTTTTCTTGACGTTAAAGGCGTTGCCCCAAGTCCTGGGCTGGAAATGTCATCAAATATGCTTCTAACTGGTGGAGCTCCACTTTTGTCTTTATGAGCTGGTACAACTGGTTGTGGTGGTGACCCACCTAAATATACAAAAAAATATAGCCAGGTGGGAACACAAAGGAATTTCTGATAACTTTTAAAATTTTATGGTAAGTCCAAAAGTATTGCTACTAGGGTTCCACTTTAGACATGCACAGGTTTATTCTAAACAAAGTATGTTTAAACATGTCTTTGCAATCAGTGGATGGCAGTAGACAATTTCTCTCAATAATACACTAATCTTAGTCTTGTTAGGGTGCCTTCAGAAAAAAAAAAAAGAAGCATTGTGAAAAGATCAACTTGCATGACGAACTGATCTTTCCATCAATCTTGTAAGCAAGATTGAAACTAATGAAGTTGATTTTATGGAATATACATATCAAAAACAAGTCTTGGATTTGCCAATAAGATCCAGAGGGCAAGGTCTGGAAAAAAAAGTGGCTTCCAAGGGGATTTGCTGAGCCAATTAAATTCAAGGCAGAGAAGTCAGCTCTGAAGGTTACAATGACTATTTTTTGGTGATTCCAAGCTGTAAGCTTGATAGATTCTTCCCAATGGATACAGGACCATCATGGGTATTTATTAGGAAGAAGTTATAAGACTGAAAAAGGCACTGGTGAAGAAAATTGCACTAAGGATTTTTTATCATTACAAGGCACCTGTTCATTCTCAGAGTGCAGCAAGGGTATCCTAGGAGAATTTCTTTGAGAAACCTTATCCAGCCACCCTATTTCCCTGACCTTTCCCCTTCACACTTCTTTTTGCTCCCAAAAGAACATTGAAAAGGACCATAAATTGAATCTGCCAAGGATGTCAAAACCACCATTTTGATGTGGTATGAATCAGAGTGCAATATTCTTCAGGGAAGGGTTGTTATTGTTAAGTGCCATGGAGTCTATTCCAACTCACAGTGACCCTGTATAGGGTTTCTAAGGAGCAATAGATGGGTTTAAACTGCTGACCTTGCGGCTAGCAATCCAGTAATTATCCATGGAAACACCACCTTCAGAAGTGTATAGACCTAGATGACGAATATGTTATGAAAGAATAGCTTCACATTTTGATATTTTTAACAAAGAAAGCTTTCAATAATTTTGTAGCAATACATATTTTGCTTACCCTATATCTATTTAGGGAGCTTTGGTTGCGTAGTGGGATACGAGTCAGGCTGCTAATCTCTCAGTCAATAGTTCGAAACTACCAGCAGTTCTGAGGGAGAAAGATGAGGCTTTCTGCTCCAATAAAGATTTACAGCCTCAGAAACTCTGTACAGGACCACTACGAGTCCATGACACATAATACCACCACCAACCGCCAATAAATATTTAAAATATTAACTTTAACTCTGGTCTTCTAGTGCTTCTCTAACTTTAATGTACAGAAAAATAAACTATGAATCTTGTTAAAATCCAGATTCTAATTGACTGAATTACTTCAAATACAATTTATGATAATTCTCCCTGATCAGTCCTTTAAAAATAGTTATCACTTTAAAGCAAAAATACCATAAGTGCAATTAGTGTTAAGAGACCTCGATTTTTTAATCAATAAATGTTTTGATGAGGGGAAATGATGCACCATTCTGTTTTTAAAATTCTAGAACTTATATTAATTGTATCATAAAGGTAGTTTTAGCAATTTACATACCTGCAAGTAAAGGAGATCTCATTTCCATTACTCCTACTGAAGGGCCACTAATAGATCGAGATTGTGGAGTCACTGGAGCTGGCATATCCCCCATTAAAAATCCAGGTAAAAACTGGGCATTAACTCCTGGCTTTGGAGAGGTAGGTGAACCCAGCATCATTGGCTCAGATCCTACAAGAAACCAAAAAAAGTAAGAATTAAGAACTTTTCTACTAGATTTTTGTTGCTGTTGTTAAGTGCCATCGAGTCAGTTAGGATTCATAATGACCTTGTCTTGGGTTTCCAAGGAGTGGCTGGTGAGTTGAACCACCAACCATGTGGTTCAAACCAACCTTGAAGTTCAGTGCATTATTCTGTTTTTGGTTGTTTTTTTTTTTTTCAATTTGCTTTTTGTTTTTGTTTAGTTTATTTCAATTTGGGGTTTGGTTCTTTCCTTTTGCTGTTTCATTGTTCTTGTTTATTCCTTCTCCTCCTCCTTCTCTTTCCATTGCCTTGAATTTTATCCTATCTAGCTCCACTTTTGGTCTTCCTTTTCTTTTGTTTCTCATTTTCCCTCTACATCTTTTTTCCCTTTTGATATTTCTTAACTCTCAACTCTGTTTCATCATCCCTCACCCTGGTTTTAATATTTTTTTTTTTAATTTCTTCCTTTTATTTTCTCTTTCATAGCTCCATTTCCCCATTCATTTTTTGTCTTTAGTTATTATATTCTTTTTTTCTGCTTGCTGCTTGTTTTTATTTCCTTTTTCTCTTTTTCATTTTTCTATTTATTTTGTTTTGCTTTCTTGTGTGTGTGAGAGAAAGGCATTTTCTCTTTCCCACCCAACAGGAGACAGCAACCATGTCCATTCAGCCCAACCACAACAGTACCCACTGTAGCTCCATCCACTGGGCAAGAGCCTATACTAAGTCCTATACCACCTGATCAATGATAAACACATCCAACACCAGCCAAACCTATTCTAAACTGAGATGCACAAATACCAGAGAACAGTGCACATGATTCCATTCTCTAACTACACCCACAACAAACAGTTGGTAAGAGACTAAGAACCCATCAACATACACTCATCAATTAAACATAAATACAATTAAATACAGACTAAATACAATTAAATAAAAACCCCACAATGTCCCAGAGACAAGATACAATTTTATAGCTTATGCCAAAAAAAAAAAA